CCTCATTGGGGGGGGGGGGAATCCTCCCTTCGTTTTATAGAAATCCCCGACCCCCTTTCCGTTTTTTCAATTTTCACACTTGTCTCCCACATTTCCGAAAGTACAAATTTCTCCTGGAAGCATCAAAGAGAAGAATGATTGGACGTTATTTCCAAATTTCTAAGGAAAAACTACCGCATTAAAGCTCTCAAAAATCCAAAATATAGTAAGTCCAAAATGATAGGTCCAGTTTCGTCAGAAAGTTGCACATGTGCGTGAAGGAACGAGCCCATCGGGTACATTTCTTTGAACAAAAATTTCAGCCAGAAATATTAAACATAAGAATGATTGTAACTTCCTTGCAAATTTTCAGTAAAAATTAACTCAGAATACGATCTGAAAGCGTTTCATTAGGAAGGAAAACTCGTAATTCCGTTTGGAAGTTGTATGAGCGATGAGCCTCGCGCCGCGGCATCGGGTACACGGTAAAAGCCAGTACCCTCTGCACGTCACACATCTTCAAGATGGCAGCCAAAATTTAAATTGAGATGCGACCACCATTCTTTATCCACCTTGGGGAAAAAGAGCCAAGTCCGCCGATCTCACCCTTCTTCTCTCTACCGTTTCAAATTTCGCGGGGAAAAATAGCAAAGTCCGCTTCGAAAAAGTGGCTATACGCGATTTTACGGGAGGATCTGCCAGTTACCTCTCTGGAAAATGCCTCTACAGACTGCTCTAGAAGAGCAGAAGAGTGAAATCTCTTCAAAAGCACAATCATTATCCTAATTAAATTAGGTGAATTAAAGAACCCCGCACACCTCTTATGGTAAGCTGCACCATGAAGAAAACTTAATCTTTTTTATTGCATTCAATTCTCCTCAAGATGCTGATCAAAAGTTAGCATTGCTCCAACTTTCTACAATGCACTGTTTTCGCAAAAAACGGCCGAGAAGATTCAATTATTCGGCGACAATGAATAAATAAAAAAGAACAAAGCATTTGAGAACAGGCCCGATGTGAATAAGGAAAAAACGTAGCGCGTGTCCGTCTTCTTACCTGTACCTGCCGACTCCGAGGCTATCTCCCTCCCGCTCTCGTATGGTTGACGTTCACTGTTTTTCTCTGACTTTCCTGTTCTTATGCTCCTCAAGAATCTGATTTAGATGGTCGAGCGAAACGGCGGCGTGCGGAATCCGAGATGAGCCGGTCGGTGCGGGAGTTCCCTTGATTTTCTTGTTGACACACAGCACTCTAGTGCTGAAATGAGGAATCTTTCTGGCTTTTTATCGACGAATAATAATTGAATCTTCTCGGCCGTTTTTTGCGAAAACGGTGCATCGTAGAAAGTTGGCGAAATGATAACTTTTGATCAGCATCTTGAGGAGAATCGAACGCCATAAAAAAATGCAGGTTTCTTCATGGTGCAGCTTCCCATAAGAGGTGTGCGGGGTCCTTTCAGTAAAACTTATTGAGAGAGTCTTCCAACTTATCTTTCCTTGACATACTTGTATATACATATTAAGTTGCTACCACAGCGCACTAGAGCGCTCTGCAACTCCGAATCGCCATTGGAATTGATCTTCCCACGCCATTGGAATCCTCCAACTCTATACCTTCCTGATCACCACCAATAAGCAATTTTTCAATTTAGGAGACAATGACATCCAGGCCCCATGACCGATATTTCTCCACTAGTTTGCGTGTCATGTATTCTGCATCTTCTTCGTCTTGCGCCACAACCACCTGATCATCAGCAAAGCAAAGCAGGCTCGGACTGGCGTGAAAAAAGTTAGGCCGCGGCGACGCATCGTGAGGGCCCCGGCCCCCACGTGGGTGGGAGGGTGTGGGGGGACCCCCCCAGGAAAGAGAGTGGGTCCGGGGGGCGGTCGCCCCCCGGAAAATTTTTGGATATTTAATATCCCGAGAATGCAATTTTATCCTCCCGGACGTTTGTAAAATTGTTAACTTTTAGAGGTTTGGGTTGATACAATATTCGACCTAAAACGGAATTTTGAGAGCACGTAAGTTTTATTTTACGTCAAAAAATTTTACTGAAATAACTCGTAAAAGTGGAGGCGCCCAACTCGAGGGCCCCAGTCGTCGAAAACTAATTAACCCTTAGATTGCAGAGTCTTAAAATGAATAAAAACAATTCTGGGGCCCTCAGCCTTGGGGGCCCCGAGGACGACGGCAAAGAAAGACAATTAAAAAAAAATTGTGGGGCCCCAGAATTGTTTTTATTAATTTTAAGACTCTGTAATCTCAGGGTTAATTAGTTTTCGACGACTGGGGCCCTCGAGTCGGGCGCCTCCACTGTTACGTGTTATTTCAGTGAAATTGTTTGACGTGAAATAAGACTTACGTGCTCTCAAAATCACGTTTTAGGTCGAATATTATATCGTCCTCGGGGGCCTCCGAGGACGAAGGCCCCGGCCGCGATCGCGGCCTAGCGGCTCTGGCCAGTCCGAGCCTGAAGCAAAGTGTATAAAGTGTGCCACCATCTTCCAGATCTTTGTTTTAATCCCTTACTTATAAAAAATCCGGAGGATAAACACCTGTGTGACCTAACCCTAGCATATGTTCCATTATAAAATTCCTTGATCACATTCATCAACCCCCCACTAAAACCACTTTTGTTCAAGGTTTCCCAAAGTTTCATTAACGGCACACTATCATGGGCTTTCTGAGGATTCACAAACACTAAATGCAACTCCTGGCCCACAATCATTTTCGTTTCGATAACTTGGGTGATAGTAAATAAATGATCGATCGTTATTCTCCATGCTCTGAAACCGGCTTGCTATCCACTTCATACTCTTTCCATTCATCCTCGATCTTTGCTTTCCATGTAGGTGTCTTGCTCAGCTGACAAGCTGTGACTGACAAGCCCCTGTAGTTATCAGTCATCCTTCCTGCCTTTCTCCTTAGACCTTTCAGGGGTAGAATGTTACGTGCAGGAATTTTTTTCCATGAATGATCTAAATTTTAGTACATAACCATAAACATACTTTCACCTGAATATATTGCTTTTTTTGTTAAACTGTTACAGGATATTCATACGAAAACTATCAACCAGTAAGCTGGGAGAAACCGCATTACTATCTTTCCAGAGACTACGGCTATAATCTTTGCCAATCCAGGGAGCAAGCAATCCCTCCCTCTGAGTTTGCAGTCTCAACTCAGCCCATTACAAGCCAAAACTTTCAGTCTATATTCATGTCGCAGCTTGGGTCTGACTCCATCCAACACCATGTAGATGAGTTGCCAACTACATCCAGGATAGCAGATTTTGTGACTGAGGAGCCCATCTTTCTGTCTAAGTATGCAACAGAGCACCTGACAGGAATGATCACCAACTTTCAAGACTCCTTGCAAAACGAACATGAGGGCCTGGATGAATCAGGTCATTTGATACCACAATGGAAGGTAGCATCCATCGAAGGACCCCTGGACAATATTTTGTCACCAGCTGAGATGATACAGGAAGCAAACCAGAAATGGTTTTCAATCAGCGAGCATCTGCCTGATTCAAACATGCGGGTCAAGTCAGTATTAGAGCCATTTGATTCTCAGGTGCCAGCTATGGTACCAACAATGTATCCATCTCCGAGTAGAATTAATCATTTTGTGCCATATTATGGAAGGTATTGGGGATAAAGACTGTTTATTAAATAGAATTTTCCATAAAATCAATTTTCCTTGACCTCGGGTATGTTCAGTAATTAATCTGATGGTTGGTAGTCAGCTGGGTGGACGATAGAGATTTCAAATGTTCCGGAAAGAATTAAGAAGATGGTAAAGGCTAATAGATGGAGGGAAGGAGAAGAGATGGGTGAATTTTTGCATGCGGACTAGTCTTCTGATAAGATTTGATTTGTTCTCAATTTCTTTGACAGATACCTCATTTAATTTTTGCTTACTTAACTTTTTATGCTTACCTAGTTCTTATTATTTCTTTTTATTGCTTTTAAATAAAGTTTATTATGTAAAAGGAAGAAAACTTAAGTACCTATTGTGTTTATCCTTATCCTATTGCACGGTAAAATGTGCAGATAGAAAAATAATAACACTAAACAGAAAGAATAATTATATCAAATGTGAAGAAGGACTGAAAATTTTGCTGCAAGGATTTAGTAAACTTAATAGATGACATACCTTTTTTATAATGTAGGGAGCTTCAACAACAAGCTTGCAACGGCGTTCAGTGAATCTTTGGCTCCCATCAGGAGTCTTTTCATCAGATAGAACTTCACACCCGACAAAAACAGGGATTAAGGGACATGTTGGGAATCGCCGCTCATAAGCCTGAAAGAAAGAAGTACAATAATTTAAAAAATTACCTAGGATTAAAATAAATTGTTTAAGCAAATTGCTAAAGAGAAGTGGGGAGTTTTTCAAAGATTACTCGGTTTTGTTCCTAAGTCAACATATTGACGGTGAAACTCTCAAACCACATATCTCTGATGCAGTATTTGAGAATCTCTGCTACTGTGTTGTTTTTTGGAAGGAGAACAGATCAACATTGAAATTTATGCAGAATTTACTTTGCAGAGAGGAAAAATCATGGAAATGTTAAGGAATTGACGTTGAGAAGTTCTCCATTTAAAAAATAAAATATGACGGGAAGTCCGCTACATCACAATCAGAGGTATGTGGTTTAGGAGTTTTAGAGCTGGGGAAAAAAAATAATAGACAAAAGTCACATCAGTCTGAATGCATCAGTCATCAGTTGGCCTATTGGTTAACATGTAAATATCTGCTGAATGGTGCAATTTCTGGATGTGACATTTGTCTATTCTTTTCTTTCCCCAGTTCTACCATTGATACTTATAGTCTAGGTACAAGTGAAAAATTTAAAACGTAACTTTAAACAAACAATTAGGTATGATTGAGACTAGGTGATCCAAAAAAGGCTTGGAAACTAATAAATGTATTAGCAGGAAGGGAAGGGAGTGGTGCTTCAAACATAGGAATTCATCCTCAAATCCTTAATAGATTCTTTGTTTCCATCGGAGATAGTATCTCAAAGAAATTAAAGGAAAAATTTCCTTCTGTACTAGAGGGAGATTTGCTATCTTCTGCATGGGAGGAGACTGCACCAGAGGAAAGTGGATTTCCCTCCTCGCAGAATGGGAGTGGGTTTTCCTCGCTACCGGAAGAAAATTCTAACAATATAATAGTAAATGAAATAATCAATGCACAAAATTTTTCCTCATTCTCTACAGTGACCACAGATGAAGTTCACAACATCATCAAAAATCTACCTGCTACGAATAGTGTAGGTCATGACAATATTGCTTCTCATTTTCTTAAAACCTATGCAAAATATCTGCTTGCTCCAATAACGCACTTAACTAATTTATCGCTTCGCACAGGCATATTTCCGAGTGGTCTCAAGAAAGCCATTGTCAAACCTTTATATAAGGGAAAGGGTTGTGAAAATGACCCTTCAAACTATCGACCAATATCTCTTCTCTCTTGTCTATCCAAAATATTTGAAAAGGCTGTAAAATCGAGGCTCCTAAATTTCTTGACTTTTTGTAAGCTTATCCCTCCAAATCAGTTCGGCTTTTTACCTGGCAGAAACTCTACCCAGGCCGTAGGGTCTGTAATTAATTCTATCTGTAAAAATTTAGAAACGAATAAGAAATCTGTTCTCCTGTTGTTAGACATTGAGAAAGCCTTTGACTCACAAGGGGAGTCTACGAAGTGACATCCTGGGATTTGGTTAATTTTGCTTGTACATGAAGAAGAGACAAATCTAAGGTTGACGTATTTTTTTTTAGCCGCCACCTCCCAACCGTTCTCGAGATATCGATTTTTAAAGTTACGATTTTTGCACGTTTCCGCGCGGAGTTCCGGCGAGTCAACTGAGCGCCGGCAAGCTGCACGAAGCGCGTTTCCTATCAGCGCTGCAGACCGGCCGGCATTATCATCTGCTCCGTGGCCGAGTGGTAGAGTATTCGCCTACTGTATCAGCGATCGCGGGTTCGTGTCCCGCGTCGAACCGTAGCTTTTAGGGAACGCCGCAATGCGTTTTTACAAGTTTTCTTTATTTTTATCACACACCAAGGGGTCCGCCCCCTGGCCGCTACGCAGCCCAACCCCCGGGGCGAAAAGGCCCGCTTCGCGACAAGCGAAATCATCGAAATCGACCGTTGACGGTTGCAAATTCAGAGTAAGGAAAAAATCATTAGGAATATTGTGTGGTGGAAAATTTCTATTTGAAACATCATTTTATCATTCAATTAAAATTATTCACCCAGTAACCGTCAACGGTCGATTTCGATGATTTCGTTTGCCGCGAAGCGGGCCTTTTCGCCCCGGGGGTTGGGCTGCGTAGCGGCCAGGGGACGGACCCCTTGGTGTGTGATAAAAATAAAGAAAACTTGTAAAAACGCAATGCGGCGTTCCCTAAAAGCTACGGTTCGACGCGGGACACGAACCCGCGATCGTTGGTACAGTAGGCGAATACTCTACCACTCGGCCACGGAGCAGATGATAATAACGGCCGGTCTGCAGCGCTGATAGGAAACGCGCTTCGTGCAGCTTGCCGGCGCTCAGTTGACTCGCCGGAACTCCGCGCGGAAACGTGCAAAAATCGTAACTTTAAAAATCGATATCTCGAGAACGGTTGGGAGGTGGCGGCTAAAAAAAAATACGTCAACCTTAGATTTTTCTCTTCTTCATGTACAAGCAAAATGAACCAAATCCCAGGATGTCACTTCGTAGACTCCCCTTGTCAGTGTCACATATCAAACTTATTAAAAAACTTAAAAGCTTGGGTATTAGTGGTATGACGTTGAATTGGTTCAAAAGCTTTCTCAGCAACAGAGTCCAGGCAGTAAAAACTGATGAACTTAGTGAATATCTACTCATAACTTATGGAGTTCCTCAAGGATCAGTTCTAGGACCACTATTATTTCTCATATACACATTTGATCTTTATAAACTTAAGATTCAAGGTTGTGAAATCTTTTGTTTTGCAGATGACACAGCTTTTTTATTTCAGGGTAAAGATTGGGCTAATCTTGTATCTTTTGTTAATAAAATTTTATCCTCAGTTATTAACCCTTGGTTTGTCAAAAATGGACTGGCAATTAATTTTGAAAAAACAGTATGCCTACCCATAAATCCAGGGGGTAGGAAAGAAGTGCTCAGTGAACTTTCTAAGATCAAGCTCCACAATCCCTCTTGTAAAGGAGGAGAATGCGAGTGCATTAATGTTAAAGTGGTGGAGGAGGCCAAATACCTAGGAATAATTTTAGATACTTCTTTAAGTTGGGGCAAACATGTATCATACCTTGTACCAAAATTAAGGAAAGCCCTTTTTTCTCTAGTAAACCTTAGAAGATTTATTCCTAGGGACGCACTCAGGGAAGTTTATTTTGCCTTATTTCAGTCTCTCTTAGGGTACGGCATTGGGGTTTGGGGAGGAGCGTGTGCAGCTGTTCTGGAGCCTCTTCTTCGCTTGCAGAGGCACGCCATCAAGGTTGTTCTAAAGCTTCCGAAGAGATATCCCTCCGAGGAGCTTTTTAATCTCCTTGGTGTAATGTCTCTGCATAGGCTCTATGAGCAGGATCTATTTCGGTTGCTCCCGTTCTTCCTTAAAGACTCAGCTCCTAAAGAGGAGTCATTTTATAATTTTAGGGGGGAGGGATCTTTTGAATTAGTTTTACCTTTTGGCAGGATAGATACAATTAGGAGAAATTTAGGATATACTTTTTTTAAATTTTTTAATGAGTTAAATGTTTTGGAGAGAGCCCTCTATTTCAATAAATTCTGTTCCTTTTCCTCTTAATTTTAGTTATTCACTCATACTTTGTTTTTCTTCTGCATCTACAATTTCACTTTTTTTTTTTTTTTTTTTTTTTTTTTTTTTTTGTTTTTGTCGTTAAGTTTTCTCTTACTATAGAGCCTTAAAAATATTATTTTCTGTTCTGTCAGGCTATGCCAACCATTGTTTAGTTATTTTCTTGTTGTTTATCTTATTTGGTTTAGTAACATATGCCACACAAGCTCACTTTTGGCATATGGAGCTGTTTTGTTTTTCTTTTGTAAATTTAAATTTTTGAAATAAATAAAAAATCTTGAAATCTTGAAATCAAGGTGCAATATTGGTGCGCTTAGAAAAATCAATGCTTTGTAATTCTTTGTACTTAATGTTTCAAATTATTATTTTATGTTTTGATTCTACATAGCAGTCTATCAAAGAATAATTCTTAAAATTTTCTTTTCAGTCCCTGAACTAAGTGACAATTGTGAAACTTTTAAAGCAATGTAATGATTCAAGTCCCTGTCTATATATAAATATTAATACATGCTTGGAGAAGCAGCAAATCTGCAACTATGAAAATAAAAATGAAATTATAAATAAATTCCCCTTTTAAGTAAAACAAGGCTATCGGTTAAACACAAGTTATTTTTTTGCTAAATCTTGTCGAAACGGTTAATTTTCATTTATTTCAAGAAAAAGCTGTCGCTCAATCAAACCAACAGTTAAAATAAGAAATTAGTCTCATAATCGATCAAGCATTTTTGTTGATAAACTTGTTAGATATGAAAGATATAATCACAATTAATAATGGGTGCGCAGGTCGATTACCAAAAGTTAAAAGTGAGTGGCACAATAAGATATCGAATTGCAATACTTTGCATGGTTAAGATGGGGCTATGTCTGGTCTTGTCCTGACATGGCTTTAATAATCCGTCTGCTCACTGCTGTAGAAGAGGATAAGTTGGCTTCAGGTTAGGGGTCAGGCGATTCCTGGAGAACCATGCTGCATTTCGATGCTCAATCAATTTAATAAGAGAATCAGAATCTAGCAAAATCCGGAGGTAAATTTGGATGTTTTGTGTTCAGGTGCCCATGCAATATCGGTTTATAAACTCCGACTCCGATATACTTCGTTGGATAAGTGCAATATTTAAGTGAGAGCTGAATCCTCATCAAAATCACTGAACTGAATTATCTTACCTCCATGACTAATTCGAAGGGGTATTTGTACACCCTTACAGGCGACTGATATTTTTGCACCATGATTAAAGTGACTCTCGGTCACTATAGCTGGAGCTGGAATAAATACACGCGGAAGGAGATTCGATTAGAAAGACTCGTGAAGTGACAAAATATAAACAGTGAGCACAGTGAGCACTGCGACGAGTGGTTATCAGTAAGTAAGGGAGTCACGATGAGACCCGATATATCCGCGGACGAAAAGCTAAAATCGATGAAGTTTTTGACTATATTCACGAAAGATCGTTATAAATTATTTAAAGCTATTGAATGCGGGCACATGATTTAATTTCAACACGAATAATTGACGAACGTGTGTGATGTAGGACGCGTTTGATAGGTCACTGACTCACTCTGATCTGATAGTGATACTACTGACTACTGTACACCAACGAACTACTGCGATGGTACAGTGTACTGATAGGATAGAGAAGAAGTACTTAGAGGAGCAGCTTTGAGATGCCAGTTCTATCATGCCTGATTTCAACATTCTTCTTGATTCTTCGCAATGATTCTTCTATTTGAGAGAGATAATAATATTCGTCATTTGACTCATTTGGAAGCGGTGTCACTATCACTGCCACTGCACTTTGGCCTGAAGTTCTCGCCAAAAACTACTTTACCGCAAGGCGCAAATTACAAATTACTTTGTTGTTGTTGTTGTTGTTGTTGTTGTTGTTCGAAAATGTAAACAAGGTACTCGATGGCAACGCTGAAGCTTTGAGCGATTGATTTAGAATCAGCTGTTTTATGCCACCTCTGAACAGCTGATCATTATTATTTGTTTTGAGCTGTGAGTTTCCTCCTCTTGTCAGGGACGAGTTCTATAGGACGCCGTTCTGTTGTGAGCGGGTGATTGCAGCGCATTCTCGCGTAGGATCCTAGTCAACTCAGAGGATCCTTCCCCCCGAACCTCGACTCATCCATCGCCCGCTCCAAAAGTGAGGTTAAGCCGGAGATTGAAAAATAACACATAAGGCGGCTGAATTCTTGAAAAATAAGTATATTTTTGGCGTTTTTCGACCCCTTTCGACGAGGAAGGGCCCGCCGCATTTAAATGTATGGTGAAAAATTCGATTTTTCGCAGTTACACGCGATCCTACGGATTTTAATGAAGTCCAACAACTGATAACAACAGTGAGTTGCGAGGATCCTACGCGCGATAGCAGCACTAGTACCTGCTCACGAATTTTTACATTGACTCTTACGGGAGTCCAGGGTCCTATAGAACTGGTCCCTGCTCTTGTCAAGTAAGTAGTCGATTTGGCGGTTTACAGGTTTTCTAGTTTTATTGCACGACATTTCAATTTAATAAGTCAGAAGTTCAACAATCATCATGGTGGGTTTGTGGCATCTGTGACTCATCCATAATACAAGATCTTTCTTCCTATACAATAGTTAGGAAAAGCTATCCTCATCAGCATTCCCCAAAGAAATCAGCCTCATAGCCTTCTCTGCCTCATTTGTCAGCAGAAGAGGAAAACTTTGTGTCGACTGATGGAAGGAAGCCTGTTAAAGTGGACAAATTATTGGAATGGTAATTTAATGTCTGTTTACATCAGTTATGTTTAGATATTAGAAAAATTGCCATGAGTGATCGTGTTATTTACGCAGCAGATTTTGTTTCGGCTCACTATTTCTGTTATCTCTTCGACAGGACACCCCTGTGCTCTTTGAGGGCATAGAAAGAAAAAAAAAGAAACCCTTCTTCATAGTTCACTGTCCAGTCAAATACCACCTACCCTAGTAAGAATTGTAGTAGGAAGTGGTCCAATTTTCACAGATTATCTTGTTCTTAGAGAAGAGAAATCAGGCAAATTTTCAAATAATGTAATTTAAATTAATTACAGCAGGAAGTTCATAATCGTGCTAATGAAGGTATGTGTTTTTGCCATTGACGTATAATATAATCTAGACTGCGCATTAGGAAATTTCTGCAAGACTAGAGTCCCTTCAGGCGAGACGATAGGCAACCCAGCAACACCCAGTAAGTGTACCGGCAATACGTACCGAGACATAATGGAAACGCCAGTCTTATCAGTGCCGTTGCCTGATACGGGTACACTTAGCTTGTATATCCGGCGGGATCAACTAGGCTGAAGGCGCGTCTTTACCCCCCTAGCTGTCTTACCTTCCCCGCCTAAAGTCGGGCCCAATGCACGGTCTAGATTGTATTATATGTCAACGGTTTTTGCAGTTTCACCGTCAATTTAAGTTATCATTCATTGACCTCTTGGATGAAAAAAAATGTCCCGATAGAAAATCCTCCAATTTAGCAATGGCGCTGATGCCTAACGGACAAAAATAGACAAGTATTGTCTTTTAAAAATCAAATGCTTACCTTAATCTCAATAAGGAAGAGAGTCCTCATCCAAGGTACCTCATTGTGTGATGCCAGATGGTTGACAATGACTCGGAATGTAGAGTAAGCAGTACCTGGAAAAGCAGGAAAATAATGAAAGTAAACAATAAATTTAATGAAGATACTCCTCCAAAGGTCCAGCAATCAACATAGAACTACAAACCAAGGTGGAACTTTATCCGTGGCCAGAGTAGGAATTATGCAGTCCTGTAAATAGACACCATTGAGAAACAGAATGTTTTTGAGGAAAGGTGTACAGTCCAGATTTCATGCCTCAGCTATTAGAAACGGATAGAAACTCTCTGTCAATAACCTAACCAAACAAACCGATTGCCCAAAGTCTATGTTGTTCTGCTCCTTTTCTGGAGAGAAAATTTTGGAAAATTCATAGAAAAGTTCCAGTCCTCCAGATAAGAGTGTAAGTACTCTCTCTGAGGTGGTCAGTCCATCATTTACCATCCAAAAGCTAAAAGTGCGTTCAGATGTTCAGATGGGTTGACAAGCTGCATTACCAACATGTATTTGTTTCTTCAAATCACACAGCTAGTGCTGATTGCACTGATCTTGAAGCTGAAGCTTGTTTTGAAGCCATCTGAAAGCGCCCCTAGTATGTTGACTTTAGTAATTCAATGATTCAGGGCGAGATGAAATAACAGTTGTTGGCATTATTAAACATCAGTAATAAATGGAAGCAGTGTTCGAAACTCACGTGCGCCAACGCGCCAAATGTGCCTATGAAATCGATCATGGCGCCTAAAAAAGGAAGGCTCTGCGCCAACGTGGCCTCCAAAAAAAAATTCCTGATTTTTCTGTTTGGTGATTATTCAAAATTTCCCCCAAGTTACAGTTACTAGTTCTGGAACTAAAACATCTTGAGTCTGACTTTTCACTAAATGCGCCGTGGTTTATTGGCAAAAAAGTCAATTTGGCCCCTAAAATATCTTCAATGGCCCCTTAAAATCGAGCTTAATGCGCCACATGGCTTCTGAAACTCAAAGGTGAGTTTTGAACACTGAATGAAAGTATCAGACCAGAAAAAAATACTTCATTTTTGACTTTTTACATGTAGCTCTTGACCGCAGTTCACACTAGGGTTGCAGAACCTACCCAGCTATTTCTCCTAGAGTTTTGTGCAGGTGAAGTGTTAGTTTGTAAGACTTTCTAAAAGTAATCAAAGCTTTCCTCTCTTTTATCTATAGGTTGGCAACCGCGTTGGTTTATCTTGGAGAATGGCATACTGTCTTACTACATGTCCTTGGAAGAAGTTAATCAAGGTTCAAAAGGTGCAGTAAAAGTCTCAGCCTGTGAAATTATCGGTGAGTGTAGGGGCCGTTGAAGAATATGAAGGATAAAGGAGTTAAACAATATAAATAATTCAATTAAGATAATAAGAGTCATTTTGATTTTAACAAACCCAACTGAGTTCGACTCAAGGCTCATGTTCAAAGTTCATTTTTTCATATGCGTCTCGTAAGTATCTAACTCTAAACTGCACAAATTTACCACTAAACTATTACCTCCGGCTAGTTGCCCCTCAATTGCAAATTGTATATTTGGACTGCATTTTGCAATTTGGAGCTATAAATTCTAACTCATCTGAAAAAACACTTATGTGCATAGGGAAACTAATTGCACATACATTGCTTTTAAACCGGACCGAAATTTATAGTTCTTAATTGCAAAATGTAGTCCATTTCATCTTTGTTTTAAAAGCTGAGGTAGAGAAAAAGAAGGAGTCATAGCCCATACAACTCTTCAAGGAAGCTCATCGTAAGATAAAGATCACGTAGAGTTAAAAAAAAAAATTTGGGGGGGAGGGGGGAGTTATGAGGCATAAGGAGATAAAACTAAGTAATTGCATCCCGGGCATCTATGAATTTGTTGGTGACATGAGCGAGTACAGACCATTTTTGGCATTGATTCTCTTGAGAAGGGCGTGATTTGTAAGTAATGTCATACTTGAAAAATTGTTATCAAAAACCATAATTTATATAGAAAAATGCCATAAAATCGAGGTATGCACTTCTGCAGTTTCACCATGGATTTGTAGCACCTAGTGTCCTACTTGCTTGAAACTGATCTCTATCTGTTGTGCCGATTTCTTTGTCAAAAAGACACAAAATAAAATAATTTAGTGCTTTGCAAATCTCCACCAAACGGAGGACTCATCCATTCATTAAAATCTGTTGGATGATTAATTTTCCTCTTTGTTTCTTCAGTTAGCAATGTTGATAATACAAGAATGGATCTGGTCATACCCGGGGAGAAACACTTATACTTGAAGGCGGCATCTTCACAAGAGAGGCAACAGTGGCTCATTGCATTAGGCAGTTCAAAGGCTTGTCTTACAACTAGACATAGACCAGGCTCAGGTATTTATTTTTCGAGTTTTGTAGTTTTCTCATGTTGGCTATCAGGGTATCTTCAGCAAAAGATATTCCGTTCAGCAAGAACAGCTGAAACCCAGTTTTTCATTCACCTCCTTGTCCAATTTCTGTACATACTGTTTTCTTGTCACAAATGGACCTGTAGTCATGAAGGATCTTAAATTTTTTTTTTGTAGCTCTTATCTTGACTTTTTTTTACACTTAAATTCCAACAAATATTCTATGCGGTACCTGATTCTGAGAGTTAGCGGTTTTTTTTAGCACTACGCACTCTTACCTAGGTTTGTGAGACTGCATAATGAAGAGCTCTTTTCAACTGATGCGGGTATATATACTGTTGTTCAATGCTAAACATTTGTAAAAATTACTCTCAGTGAAAGAAAAGGTGTCTTTCAAGTGGAAAGCAGATTTTTTTTAAAAAAAATTTCCATTCCAAAGTAACAAGTAGGATATGGATTTAATCTGATTTCTGTTGATGCAGACTCATCATCTCCTGATTCATTAAAGGCAAAGAAATCGGAATTGAAACTGTACTGTGACCTCTTAATGCAGCAAATTCACACTATTAGGAAAGCAGCAATGGGTGAGGCAGGCCCTGATACGGAGGTAATTAATAAATTATTTCATCTCCTCACTACTTTCAAAATTTTTTTTACCTCTTGTGACTTTAGATGTTTCAAAAATCAAATTTCAAGACCTTTATTCTAATTGGTAAAGCAGGACACTTACTTTTGTTTGCAGAATTTACAAAAAATTTTCTAACAGCTTGTCGTTTGCAGCATTATTAGAAGTCCTCAAGGTACCTGCAAAACAGGTATCCTGAGGTTTCGGCAGGAGGGATTCGGCGGCAGATGTTTCGGTGGGGAAGGTAGGGCGCAAGGCGGTTTTGGTGCAAGATTTTTCAGCGCAGAGCTTTCAGCGTCCCTTTTTTTAATCAAGAAAGTTTAAGACACGTGGCAACCCAGGACGTTTTTTGCATTTTAGCTAATGTATCTGGCGGAATATTCAAAAACATGGATTACTGGTCCGATACTCTTCTGACCCTGGTTTTGCTTCACAACTTTGTCAAGCAAGACAACTCTTGACTTTCTTTGAGTGTCAATAACTCCATACCAAAAAATCTGTGAGCCTGCAAAGAAATCTCAAGGCTTCCAGTGATAGCTATTGGGGTCGAATATGGTTAATGAAACAAGAACTTGGAAGAGTCCTTTAACTTGTACCTGCTGGCCTAGGAATACGAGAGGTAAGTTAGTGAAACTCGGATCACTAAGGTCTCTTAGAAATTCAGTGGTTCTAATTCTACATTCATCCACCTAAGTTTAGGCTAATCAAATTGCCTGCTGCAAATTAAATTTCTCCAAAAATGTTTATTTTGTTTATTTATGTTTTCATTTTTTATTTAATTATTCCTCTTTGCCATCAGGGTCTGATGAAGTAAAATTAATAAATATTTAATCTTAAATATGCTTTGCTCTTGAGCAAGACATTAAGTAGGGTAGAAAGAGGAACTGCAGACAATCTAGAGTCAGAAAAGCTGTAAGGAAAAGTTAACTTTTGCCCAGTAGTCAATCTCGTCAAATTTGAATTACAGATCGGCAAGATAATGTTATCCATATTGCATATCCAAAGAACTTACCTTTTTCTAAAGTATCGGGTAAAGAAATGTCCAAGGAAGGCACATACCGTTAAGCCTCCAAAAAGTTTTTTTAGGACTCTTTTCAGAAACAATGTTTTCTTAACCTTTACTCATATGTACATTGCAATGTGTTTGCAGAAAATGTATGAGGAATGCACGCTGCTAGAAGCAACCTGTGATACTTTTATTAAGACCTTAGAAGAAATTATGAATGTTTCTAATTCCAACAGTCCTAACGACTTCTTCCCTAACTCCAGTTCCATTTTTCATTCTAACCATTCTGGCATCAAACAGCAGACGGTGAGTGTAAATATTTGATTTTTAAAACTTTTTCGGAAAAAAAAAAGAGAGAAAAAAAAAGGCATTGTATCAACAAATCAATCTCTATTAAAATATTCACTTAAACAATCATTGGCTCGTACAAATAATTGTGCATATGACTCCTTTAATAAATTTTAAGGTTAATTTATTTCATTCTTCCCTAAACTATTATTTCATTTACTCTCTTCGACTACAGGAGTTTCAGCATTTTCACATTTCTGACCGAATTAGGCAGTAAGCAACCTAGTCATATTTTGCCGAGACCAAGCAAACCAATGACTCACAATAAGTTAAACTTTAGGAATTTATTTGTAGCATGTAATACTCAACTGGCAAATGAAATTTTCTGGGATGGGCGTCCTTCTGTATGACAAAGAAACTTTTTTCACCATATGCTCTTCTGATCACGAAGTAATCATTGCTCAAGATGAAGAGGATCCTGAGCTTATGACTCAAAAGTTGATATCAGAAATTGGCGCCTTGAGATTAATGCGACTGAAACCAAGAAGTTAACCGTGGATAAGAGTCAGCCTCAGCAGAGTATAGAATTAGACGTATGGCAGATTGAAAGCGGTAAAGCTAAGGCCCAAGCCATCAAGAATAGAAAAATGCCAGGGTGGAGAAATATGGTCGTGTTGAATAGAGTGTTTTGGGATCGAAGGATTTCCAAAGAATACAAAAGGAGCATCTACCTCACGATATTCAGAAGTATAGTAGCCTACAGGTGTGAAGTAGTGCCCATGAAACTGCAAACCCAGATGGTTTCAGAGGCGTTAGAGATGAATTCTGATGTAGATCAGCTGGTATTTTCAGAAGAGATCTAATCTTAGAACTAATTTTAGGTTACAAGATATTTTTCCTCTCAACAATTAAATATTTCATCTATTTATGTTTTCAGAAAAGTCCAATTCAACCCAGTCTGCCAAAGAAAACAAGATCAACTTCTCACGATCGGTAATATGATTATAAATTATCCTCTATCACAGGTTGAATTAAAAAGTTTCTTGCCCTTGTTAAAAACAGAATAGTTTTAATAGTCCCATCAGAAATTGGATTCTATTTCTCAAAATGATAAATTCTCTGAAGCAACATTGTACCAGATTATTGTAAAGAATTATGAAGAATATGTTAAAGAATCAATTTAAGGTTTCTAAATAAATGTTGTGTCCGATACATTTGAATACTGAAGCATAAATTGGCTTAAGAGGGCATTAATTTAATTAAGAAACAGTTCAGTGGAAAGGACGTATCCAGAATGTCATTTAATGCTGTCTGTAATGAGAAGTAGACAACCACGTAATTATATACAATGCAATTCCATGAGACAGCACAGCTACAGACGTTCAAAGCTTTACTGTCCATCTCTTTCTCACTTGATGTGAGGAGAATAAATTTTTCACTGTGCCGTGAATGACGTGATACTCCAGAAGTACATAGTACTTAAACCAGATTGTCTTCTAGTTGGTAGGAAGTTAGTACATACTTTCAGTTATCAAAATTTTATCTCATCAAAAATGAGACACATGCTCTTCCATTTCTTTAACTGAGTTTTGCTGATCTCCTCTCCACCTTCAAGAACTTGAAACGACTGGGGGTGATTTTCCCTGGGGTCAAGTTGTGATCAAAATGGTTGTCAATATATTGCATTATTTAAATTAACAAATCTGTACAAACTTGTTTTTGCACCAGACAAAATGGCAACCTTTGTACTTGAGTGAATAGAATCGTAAATACACTAAAAAAAAAGAAAATAAGTAGTGAACATTATGTGAAGGAATAAAGTAACATTTGTCTACAAAAGATAGTAATTATGTTTATGTAATATTATGTATTTTACTACAGCCAAATGCTGTATTGAATGCCTTTCTCTTTTTAAATGTAAATAAGTTATCATCATACCTAAAGGGGCAGAAGCTATTATCTTTTTTGCATGAAATTCATGGTTTCTTAAAATTTTGTACAAACTGTCATAATACTTGCACATAATATTATTGCACTATTCTAGAGCAAAAAAACTGATTTGAAACAATCTCTTCTCTAATTAATGAATTATGTGCTATGGCAACCCAAGTAATGAAGCATCCATTATTTCCTGTTGAACATTAACGAAAGGCTTGCTCATTATGGTCTTTTAACATGTCCATCGAGAATTCTGGCCTGCGCTTTAAATTTTGCGCATCAGAAGTTGATGTATACCTTCTATAAGACAAGAGAGAATAAATTTGTATAACTTACCCATCTTATAATTGGCTTGTAAGTATTAAATGATTTCAAAGCAACATCCCGACGCTGGGACATAAAGTCTCGCAAAACTTTAAATTCTTAAGTTACCCATAATGTAACTCTATCTTTACTGGTTGGAGCAAACTATGCCATGAGATTTTTGGAGAATAATTTTTGATGATAGATAATTAAAGTTATCTAGTCTATAAAAAGTATATTCATATTTAACTTTTATTTGATAGCAATGATTTGATTTTGACCCTGCAAATGCTGTGCTTTTTTAATTGTTTAAAAAAGAAATGTGTGAACATATTTTTCAGTATTTTACAGTGATGTATAAAAAAAGTTCATAGCAGCTTGTAGTTCCCTTTATTGCCTCATGGCATATTTGGTGTCACATTTGTGTTTATAGCATAATGTAGTATCTATTTCGAAGCACAATCAACTAAATCAATCAGCAGGATTTTTGAAACTACTGTTTGCACAACAAGACATCAAAAATCTATTTATTGCATGGTGCAAATAGGGTTTTGGCTCGCTGTGTCGTCTTGTCATTGCATAAAATAGTTTCAACAATCAGGCTACAGTTGGAAAGCTAAACCTTATTGAAGTAAGTCCTACTACAAGTTTCAAAATTCAAGTTCTGTCTTCGTAAAAATGTAAGCCATGTTAATTTTTCTGAGGCTAGGATAACCTCTAACAACTTGTGGAAGACTATGAGTAAACTTAAAATATTGGTACCTCAAATATGTCACTAAAAATTATCTCTTTCTACATTCTAGTTTAGTTCTTTTTTACGTTAGTGTTATTCTAACATGTACTTTGTACGTAAATGAGGACTTATCTGTAACAATAACGGATGTCGAGTTTTCACATTGTGAGAAAATTGCGTTTGAAGTTTTCGAAGCTTTGCACTTTTCCGCCCGTAGAATCGAGAGGATTCCCATAAAGATTTTCATGAAGAGCAATTCTTCCAGTAAAAAACACACGTTTTACGATCTATGTGAGTGAAAAATTGAAGGAGTAACAGCGATTTGAAAAAGATGTGACATCCGCTATTTTCACTGCAAACACTTTTTTATGCATGAAACAAAGTCTTCAGGAAGGGTAAAGCTGGTGAAACAATTGAAATTACCTAAAAGTAAGTCAATGCTGAGTCATTTAACAAAATTGATCAAGAAACTAAACCGTTTGTAACTCTTACAACAAAAACAAGGAACAAATCCTAAAATCAGTTAAAAATTCAACAATTCTGGCGAGACGGTCCCGATACGTATAATTTGAGTGTCAGCTACAGCCCATGGCCGGTGGGCAGGCAGTTATCGCAAGTGGATTCAAATCTCCACAGAGTCCTGCCGCGCCGGCTGGGGAAAACAGTGGATTCTCACATCTGCTGTTTTTACGAATAACATGATTTTCAGTTCATATCTCGCCGAAAAATTGCACTGGAAGTCTGAAACTTTGCACAGGCATTCTTGGAGGCTCTAGATTTCGAAAAAAGCGATTGCCCTAAAAATGGCGGATGCCAGCGACTGTTACTGTTACATATATGTCCTCAAATACTTTGTCATTTCAATTGATTTTACCAAAATTCTGGAACCATGCTTTGAAAAAAAAATTATGAAAATTGATTCTCCAACAATTGATTTTAGCACTCTTCACAATTCTTGATATCACCAATGTATTGTTTGATGTAGCTCTTCGATTTAGTCTTATCAAACAGTAAATCCAATGATAACGTGGTCTTCTGATTCGGTACTCACTCGTTCTATTTACAAAATTTTCATTCTAGGTACTGAATTAATGCAAGTAAGTATTATGTAAATTTAATGGTTTATTTTGTGATGTATACTCAACCGGAAAATTCTTGATGGTACGTCCCTTGTAAATTCAGCAAGCTCTAAAAGAAAAAGGTTGTATTGAAGAACTCAATTTACCTCAATAAATTAAACAAGCTCTATTTATTGTGGCCCTAATTTTCACCGAAAACTGTTCAAACTTCAGGACACGTGGGTTTTCACCTTGTAAAATTTAATAGTTCCCATTCATTGACAAATTTACAAAGTAATGTTTTCAAAGTGATGTTATTTTTGGCATCATGTTGTAATGAGAGTGCTTGAATTCAGATTTCTTTGATTCTTGTCTTTCAGTCTGCCAATGAGTACGTATGCTTGTGTTTAAAAGAAACCAACGATCTAGCTACCAACCTATCCTTTTTATTAATATAAATTTAAGTGGTGACTATCAGAACAGCACTTAAATATTATCAAATGTATTCTTCTATGGCTCTACTTTCTCATTTTACTCATTGTAACTTCTCATTGCATTTGTTTCTTTGAGAGGCCACAATACAAGTAAAGTGAAGAATAAAATAGTGTATTTCCTTCATTCCTAAAAATACACTAAAAGTAACCAGTATTATGTCAGTTGATCTCACCGTCTTAAAGTAGATGCTACCACCAAATAATATTATCTCTTGAACTCAGATCTTTAATTTGTAGTAATATTACTTATCTACTGATGCCCTAGTAGCAGAGCTAAATTCACAGTATATAAACGAAGTATAACGGTTATATAAAGAGCGTATTTATATAAAGAATGTATAATCAAAGTACAACGGTTATACAAAATATATATAAAGAGCGTATTTATATAAAATATGTAGTACTGAAGTATAACGGTTATATAAAACATTTTTACGAATAAATTTTATATAAACTAATTATAAAGGTTATTCGCGCAATTTATAAAATTATTTGATTAATAACGGTCATACGACGGCGGTTTCCTTTGAACATCCCGTTACTGAACCGTTATATGAGTGGTATAATTTCGTTAAAATTTTTTTTATATAAATCTGCTACTAGGGTGTCCCGAAAAAATGGAAAATTCAAGTTCAGCAGATGATAGGAAGGAGATTGATGTTTTTTTATCAAGAGTTTTTTTATATTGATTTATCAATCTAAAATTAAGATAGACAAATGCAAAAATGGAAGTAGGTCATCGATGCTCAAAATAATTTCATTCTACAAAAGAATTGATGCTGCATTGTCTATCATCAAAAACTGACACATTTAATTCTCTCACCGAAATGTTGTCCATAAAAATGTAACAATAATTACTATGCCTACGAGAGGAAACATCTATCCACATTATCAGATCCTTTTTAAATTCTATTCTGTTGTGTGTTGTAATTATTATGCCAGTATAAGTTTGTTGTGTGTTATTTACTTTAGTAAGGTGTTCCTGAAGTTTCCCATGAAGTCTCAATGAGAAAGTACATTAATTCTCAAAATTGCGCCCTGTCACCTGGTTACCAACATTTTTTTATTACTTCCCAGGAAAATGTTTGGAAAGAAACTTGGCAAACTGAATGTGTTTCTACCAAGAGAAACCTTCACTAATAACTTTCTGAGGCTCTGACTATTTTATTAAAAATATTTCTAAGTGTATACCAAATGTGTTTTTAACACAAACTGGAAACTTCTATTTACAACTAGATTAAGTATTCTAAAAGCGAAGAAAGCTTTGTCAGAAGGATTGAAATGATTATTTCCGAACGCAAGAATACTAACAATAATTATGTTCCTGAGAATTTTAAAGCAGCTTTAACCATTCGAAAATAACTTTAAAAAAATCTTATCTTTCTTTCGACCAACTTTTGTCTCATATTGCCGGAAATATTTTTTTTTTGAGTAGAACTCCAGAAGAATAATCAAAAGCAATAAGAAATTGTTTTCCTCATATCTGCACACATAGCTCTTGAAAGGTCAATCTTTTTCGCCTGGAAAGGCATCCACTACCTAGTCATCCTTAATCAAGAGACTTTGAATCGTGCATGGTGTGCTTTAATTTTCTTTACTGACTTAATTATGAGTTTGAATTGGCCAGTTTCTCATAGGCATCGTACTTTTTACTAATTTGTGGTGTTGTCTGTGGATATATTCTCTTTACAGATTCCTAGCTCTTTCCTTCTCCATTAAAATTTTAACAAATTGATTTATTAAGAGTCCACTTATGGTTACCGTTTTATGTACTTACCTTCTTTACTGTTAAATTAGTTTGTTTTTGTTGGATTTGTACATTCCCTCTTTTTCAATAAAATAATTTTAAAGTTATCAATAACTTAGCTTCAATCGTTTGTTTGTTTTTTCTTTGTTTTTTTTTTTGTTTTGTTTTTTTGTTTTTTTTTTTTTACCTATTAAAATAGCAACTTCAAAAATTAGGTACAGGGGAAAAGTTGTGAAAATGACGGAAAGCAACAATGCATATCAATGACTACGATTAGAGTCAATAAATACTCAGCATCAAAAATGTATACGCAGACGACACGCTCTTAGCCTTTGAATCTGAAAATAGAACCTCTCTTTTAACAGAAACAGAAATCACCACTAAAAGGATGAAAAAGAGATTAAAAAAGAAAAATCTGAGTCTCGAGGAAAGCAAAACAGAAGCATTAATATTGGCCGGTAAAAAAGAGATATCTAAAGCCAAAATAAAAATAGATGAAACTGAAATTGAAACCAAAGAAATACTTACATACCTGGGCTTCTATCTCACAAAAAATTTAAATTTTGATAAACACTTGGAAATGACTTGTAAAAAATTAAATAAAACTGCCAATTATTATAGGAGCATTCTACCAAACACGTTCGGTCCCACTTTTCATAAAAGAAAAATAATATTTCATTCCCTCTTATCAATCCTCTTTTACGGCATAACTATTTGGATAACTGCTACACAATGGAAAAATTTATAAAACTAATTGAAACTTCTATTCGACCCTTAAAAAAGACTTTAATCTGCGGCTATAACTCGATATCAAATTTTGCCCAAGATGTAATATCAGGGGTTCCTCCAGCCAGGCTCCCCGTTGAACTAAAACGAAGAATAGCAAGAGGAGAGAATAAACTAACTGTAGAAAGCAAAATTAGAGACAAATGGCGAGAAATACGGGAAAAAGAAACTGGAAACAAATGGATAAAAACAGTACTAAATGATTTAGATGCCTGGCTGGATAGAACTCACGGCTACCCTGATTTCTATCTGACTCCCCGCCCGGCAAGCCGGCAATGTTGACGTTTTGGCAATGTTTCATGGAAATGTTTCACGCAACATTTCACAGTAATATTTTTCAGCAATGTGTTGATAATGTATTTGCAACGTTGTCTTATAACATTTTCTGACAATGTTTTAAAAATAATTACAAGAAACATTACAAAAACCTTGCAACGCAACATACTTGAGTAATATTTCATGATAATGTTACGATAATATTTAACGCAATATTATTAAAACGTGAATAAGTAATGTTATTATCATATTCATAAAAAACACTGCAGAAATATAATACAATAATTTTTCAAAAACATATTTTAATTTAAAATTGTAACAATGTTTATTAAATATGTTTCCAAATAATATTATAAATTAACATTTCAGTAATGTGTAAGAACTTTATTACGTAAACGTTTCCAAGTGTCACAGCACGCGTCCATAAAAAGTTACTCGCTGTGGAACGTAGATTTTCTTATTCTAGCCGTGGAC